TGCCAAAGAAATGCAAAACACAGCTTAAAGGAAGCAAGAATAAGGAACAAAAAAATTCCAATTATAGAGAATTTTCTATTTCTAGAAATATTTACAAGAAAGTTAAATGGTCACCTTAACAAAAGGAATACTGTGTATTTGCACCTGATGTTTTGTTTAAGGAAAACACTTGTGTAACTCTGAGGTTCGCAAGAGGGGAGACAGTTCTGTACTCTGACACCCCCATTTGATTTGGGGTTATGTACAACCCTACTCTTGTAAGAAGCCTAGTTTCTTCACTTGCACATATATGAACACACACACCTCTCTAGGGATGCTCTTGGAACTCCCTCAACCCCTGCTCTATATCAGGCTACACACACTACTATCTTTGAACAATGGTAGTTTTGCCACCCCTGGAAATAATCAAATTTAGAGCATTCAAGTGTATTCCTAAGGTATCCAGGAATGTATACTAGGAGGGCCAATTCAACCTAGACTGTTTTGGTGTGCATGCGCATTAAAATTAAAACTGTTTTCATTAGTAACCTTCTAGGGAGAATCCTGTTTATCAACATATGACTATGCATACATAACTGGCACACATATGATTAAAAATCAGATACATTATGGGAAGGGACATACACAGTACAGAAATGATTACTCAACCTAAGTGAAAGAGAAACTATGTCCCTTATTAAACAGCTCTTCCTCTTGAGCCACATAAGAGAGAGCTTTAAATAGTAACAGGGGATCCTGGGTGTTCACTCATGTGGTTTGTGATCAATCTTTACATCATATTTCCCTTGTTATCAATTGTTCTATCATATCCTCCTGTGATCACAGCAATCCTCCTTTAATTGAACTATGACTTGTCTCCAAATAAAATCATCTTGTTCCTTTTACAAATCTATGTGAACCCGTATTTCAATGATTTAAATAAGAGGACAAGAACATGGAAACATTCCAGACTCCAATCACCAAAAACAACTCCAGAATTCTTGCCCCGGGTCCAGATTTCCTTTTTTTTTTTTTAACATATCGATCCCAGTTCCCTCTCCCTCTCTCTCTCCCTTTCTCCTCCCCACACATGCACCCCGACCACCCTCCCCTCCAAAGCCTCCACTCCACATGTAGGGTGATGCCATCCAGGAGGGGTCATCTAAGTCTGTCAAGTCATTTGAAGTAGGGATTAGTATTTCTCTCCTGTCTCTAGGTTAAGGGAGTATCCCTCCATGGGGGATTTCTATCTCATGAATTACTTTCTCTTATGAAGTTATAAGATTCATTAGTGGTTGGAAACACTAGCTTAAACTTTTTCACTGCTCTTTGTTTTTCTAAGTAACACATTTTTTGTTGTTTTTCAAGACAGGGTTTCTCTGTGTAACTTTGGAGCCTGTCCTGGATCTAGCTCTTGTAGACCAGGCTGGTCTTGAACTCACAGAGATCTGCCTGCCTCTGCTTCCCAAGTGCTGGCATTAAAGGTGTGTGCCACCACCACAAAACAAGGGAGGCAAGAGTGGAAAGCTAAGACATTGCATGTTTCTTCCAAGCAATGCTCTACTAAGAACCTGATCAACAACTGTACCAGTGAACATTTAAAAGACCTTCAATGCAAATTTATCCTGAAGGGGATTTTCCTATTGATTTCTGGCAACTGCACTATCAGAGAAGGGAGTATGGTACCAAGGCATGGGCTAGCACTCTGTCCCAATATCTATCCCAGAAATGACTTCCAATGACAGGCTGGAAGTTTCCCTCAGACTCTGGCCAGCTCCTGTTCACTCTTTATGATTATCTGCACTCACTCACTGTCATGGGTGTGGTATGGTCAACTCAACAGGACCTAGAATCTGAGAGATGGATTTCTGAGCATGTCTAGGGAGATTGTTTTAACTTATGCACAAAGACTCATCATCATTTTAAGCAGAGGAAACCAGACTGAATAAATAAGACAGCTCAGCAGCAGCAGCAGCATACATTCCCAGCTCTCAAACTTCTGATTGTGGGGCACAATGTGACTAGCTGCCTCAACTTCCTGCTGTCTTCACTTTCTGTCAGTGAGGGAATGCTATCTTAAACTCTGAGCTAATAAAAACCTTCCATCATCAGACTATTTCATTACAGCAACAGAAAACAGAACTAAGATATATTATCAACAACATTTCTGCATAGTAGTGACTAGCTTTTTGCCTAGTGACTAAAGATGAGATCAGATGCAGCCAAGAGAGTAACCTCCATCTGCCATCTAGTGAATTCCAGGTACTTCAGTAAGGTCTTCATTCTGACTTGTTCCCATCTTTTCTGAGTTTGTCTTTCTTCAGCTCTAGCTTACCAAGTAAGAGTTCTCTCATATCATTTAAATTTTTTAAATAATTAACATCCCCATGTTTTCAATCACTATACAAATATATTTCTCTATTAGACCCAAACTGATAGTTGTCACCAAGCCAGACTTACAGCAGTTATGATACAAAAGCAGTGTTTTGTTCTATACATCCAAGCACTACAAACTCCCAACTCAACAGGTCCTTAAGTATTGAAGTCACAAGGACTTTACTTTATGAATGTATAGATGAATGTAATTACAAATGGCTTGCTTGGTTCCTTTGCCTCCTATCATTTTGCTACATTCACAAACAGCATTCCTCTCCTTCGGAGAATGTGGCCAGTCACCATCTCAGAATCAAAGCAGCCCTCTACAGACAGAGAGCTAGGGATGGTGGCATTTTGATATGACCTCTCACCTTCCAGAACTAGAAAAAGGACTTTAGGAATTACCCAGTCTTGGCTATCCTACCACAGCAGGCCAAAGCAACTAAGACCCAGATATAGAAAACAGCTCTTCATTTAGTTCTACATTTGTAAAATGGGTTGCATATCTAGTAAAATGCAAAATATCGAAAACCTTTAAATCCCCAAGTGTTCACAGCTCAAGTAATCAGAATAGCTATGTCCAGCTACAATAGTTAGAAAACTTCTGATCCTATTTAGAGAACAGCAGAAATATTAAAAACAAAATAAATATGAAGTGGATATGGTTTACCTCATTTTAAGGTGGCTTTGCATTGATGGAGGTGACGAATAGGAGGCACCAAGGACTTTAAGGGAAAAAAATCCATGATGCTTAGCACAATGATTGTCCAAACTCAAAATTTAAAACACAAGGGTCAGCCCTGTGATTAGCAGTACTTTCTCCACCAAACAGGTTTTGAAATATATTGTGAAGGGTGACAGAAAAAAAAAAAAGAAATTAAATCTATTAAGAGAAAATCCATGTATTCAAAACACAGGAAAAATGACTGTGTGTTTCACAGTATAAGTGAATGCCATGTGTGCAGGTGCCCTCAGAGATCAGAAGAGGGCACTGGACTCTTTGGCACTGGAATTACAGGTGGTTGTGAGTTGCCCAACTTCAGTGCTAGGAAGCAAATTTAGGTAGATCCTGTGTCATCTCTTCACTAATTGAGAATTTTATTTTATAACTGCATGCTAAGAAGATATTAGCCTAGAACATTAAGTATAAAATAACAAAATAATAAGTACCAGAAAACCCCCTAACTTATAAATTTTGCCAAGAAATAACCTGACTACAGAAACATATACCAAAGCAAATTCAAAGGGACAGGTCTGAATTTGGTCAGAAATCTTTATGAACCTGAATGATGAATTCACACTGATAGTAAGGACAGTAAATTTCAGTCTTGACTGTTAATTCCTGATCTCAAATATTTTGAAACTACCTTGAGTGTGCACATGCAGACGTGGTGGTCAGGGGACAACCTAGAGTGTCATGCCTCAGGAATGTCTGTCTCTCTTAAGAAAATATCTCTGACATGGAGCTCACTCATTAGACTCCAAAGCTGGCTGGCAAGCTGTAGGTGTCCTCTCTGCCTCTTCAAGGCTGGAATTGGAGTATGCTTTGCCATGCCTGGCTTTTTTTTTTTTTTTTTTTTTTTTTAAACATGAGTTACACATGAAGCAAGCACTTCATCAATAGAACCATCTCTCCATACCCTGTGATTTTTTTACTTTTTTGGCTCTGAGAGAGCATCTCACTATGTATCTCTGAGTGTGGTGAAATTCACCATTTATACAGATCAGCCTGCCTCTGCCTCCCAAGTGCACCATACCCTCTGATTTTTAAATTGTTATGCTCAAAATCTTGAAGCCCCTTCCTTTTTCCTATTGAACATTTTCCCAACATGCCTTAAAAACTAAGAGTGATTAACTGATACAATTTTACATTTATAAATACAGCTTTAAAATCTAATTTTTCTCATTATCTAATTTAAATTTCCAATTCAGCAACCTGTGTATTGACATTTTCCAGTTGCCTTTCATTCGTGTGTGTGTGTGTGTGTGTGTGTGTGTGTGTGTGTGTTGGAATTAATAACTGATTCAATCAGTTCCTTTTATTTAGGTAAAAGCTACGTTTTTTCATATATATTATAAAAGCAAAAAGTAATGCCCCTTTGGTAATATAAAACTGCTTTAAAATATAAGTTGTAACATAACTTTAGAATAAGCTGGTTATATTTAGTATCAAAGATATGTTCTTGCAAATGAATGCTCATCAGTCATTTCAGCACCTGTCTTTGCTGATGCTTTCCAGCAATAGGCTATATTATGTGTGACAAACATATAATTAGTATGTAATTGGAACTTGGAGCCTGAACCTCTCTTTAGAAATCATATGTAGTGTATTTCACTAGGTGAAATGGCTCTCCCAGACCTACCTGACATACCCTGTTATAATCTTCCTTTTAAAAGCCAGGCATAGTTAATCTATAAAGTAACTCTATATTTGGTTACATAAGCCATTTGGTATGTAGTAGAACATGTCACAAAATAGAATGTTAGCAGCAACAAGATCTTCTTAGTGCTAACAAATCTACTGGTAAGAGCTTTTCAAACTAGCCAGACAAATAGGTTGGAAACTTCACTGGCTAGAGAACACAAGAAAGACAGGATCTACTCTATAACATGTGATGTTAGATAGCTTAATAGCTTAAGAAAAAAATTCTTGGGCCATATGTGTTTAGAAGTTCTACATAACAATAAATTTATTTATTAAAAGATACAAACATTTGGGTTAAATGTTAATTTGTCATATCTGACCATATACACATATACTCTTTAATTTCATCATTTTTAAATGCATTACTTATGCTTTATTACATAATTTTAGTCTCATTGATGAAGATGTTTCCTACTTACTTTAAATATTATTACTCAGTAGAAACTGCAAACACCGCTCTGTTCAATTCTATCTAGAGATAAATTCAGAAAACCATAGGAAATAGCTTTAAACTACAATCATTTTTGGATTTTCCACACTCATTTTTTGTTCAGTTTCAAATTTGTCATAAAGCTATAGCTTTTAATAGATTGGGATTAATCTAAAACTAAAATCTAGGCAATAACTACATATCAGATACTAAATTCTCAAGACTCTCTAAACCGATTTGTGTACTGTCAAGTATTATCAACATTATCTTACATTGAATCAAAGCATCAATTAAATAGGGAGGTTCTCTGTTATCACAATAAAAGAAACATTCCATTAGCACTGAGCCACCAACTATTGTAAATATAACATCTTAAATATTCAATACATGAAATTTTAGAAATAACAAAATCCCATATGATACAACAATTTAAGGTATTCCTTAAGATGCTTAAATATATTTAGTACACACACACAAATATAAAATTAGGATAGAGACTAAAAAGTTCTTAATGTCAAAGAACTAAATGACAAATGATGAGACTGTCAATAAAAGATGGGTCCAGATGAGGAAGATAATCGCCCACTTTTGATATTAAGCATTTTCTGGTCTGAAGATCCAAGTACTACTTCAGGACATATTTTTGTATCTTCCAGTCATGTTTTTGTATGAAATCAGGCCTATGAATCTTTCCAAGTTTAGATTTTTAGAAATATACTTGATGTAGTCATAGAAAAAGACATGACTTATATTTCCTTTGTTTATATAAATAATAGCAAAAGTACATAACAAGTGGTATGGTGACTGTTTATTGTGGTTTAAGTTTTATTTTCCTCTTCACATTTTTGGTGACTGTTTCCCACTGGTACCATCGACCAGGTCTCTCAGGCGTGATAAATGTTGTAAGGCCCTTCATTAAAAGAACAAAAAGCACATTATAAACCAGTATTGAGAACTGAATAGCCAATATAGACAGGAAGAAATAATGATTACATTATGTATTAACTTCAAAATAAAGTTATAGAAAAACATAAAGCTTTGATAAACTACTTATAAACTTTGACATCTGATCAAGTGAGAATGAAAATAATTTAACATTCTATAAGCATTTGCTTGAAATATCTGATATTCAATATTTAGTTAATCTGCCTAAACCAAATAAAATAGTATTGCATGTATTATATTTAATAAAACATTTTTCATATAATTTTCCCAACAATTCTGCAAAAATATTTTTTCTTTTGCCATGCTATATAGATCATCTAGGAAGTAAGGCACATAATTCATTTAATATTTATAGTAAAGATAGTTAAATTTTTAAAATACTACTTAAAAATCAGTAAAAATTCTCAGTAAAACTCATTTTTGTTAAGAAGGAAAACAAGTAACTTCTCCAATAAGGCTGAATAATGCAAACACTAACAATCTAGATTTTTTTTTTCAGAATATACACTAGATAAAAAGACCACATCTTCAGCAAACAGTGTTGGTCAAACTCAATAACTACATGTAGAAAAATGGAACTCAATCCTTATCTCTCACCCTTATGGAGTGCCTTTAGGATTAGGGGAAGCAACTCCTATTTGCCTTTTATACATAGTAATAGGAGTCCTCTGTTATTGATCCCTCCTTTGGTTGATGACTTAAATTTGGAGATATGAAATAAATGGGGCATTCAGTATAGCCTGAATATGCTCTCCTAATGAGTATCCTGTGTTTCTGTCTCTTAATTCTATTACCTAGCCTTTCCCTCATCCACACTCCCTGACTCAGGAACTGACATGGGGCTGCACTGCTGGTTCAGATTACAGCCCCAAGTAGAAGAATTGGTGGGTCCATTTTCCAGCACCCATATAGTGGCTCACAACCACCCACAACTCCAATTCCAGGGAATCTAACGCCTTTGCCTGATTTTCACAAGGGACTGGGCACACATGTAATTTTATACACACATGTAGGCAAAACATTCATACACATAACATAAAAATAAAAGTAAATAAAAAATAGTTTTAATTGTAGCACATAATTATAACAGTTCTCCAAAGAAGAAATACAAGCAGCTGATGTATATTATTTTTCCAACATCCTCAGTCATCAGGGAAATAAGAATTAAAAGTACTTTGAGATTTCATGGCTAAGATTTTTTTAAAAATGACAATAAATGGTGGAATGAATATGGAAAAAGAAACACGTATACATTGTTAGATTGGTGCAGCCACTATGGAAATCAATATGGAGGTTCCTCAAAAACTGAGAAACAGATGTACCATATAATCTAGGTATACCACTATTAAACATATACTCGATTTATATCTTACTATAGAGATATTTGCTATTCCATGTTCATTGCTGCGTTTTTCACATTAGTGAAATTAAACTAGCCTAGATGTGCATTAACTAATTAAAAAACAATGGAAATGCAGTATCTTAGACAATGACGTATCATTCAGCACTTAAGAAAAAATTAAATTCTCAGATAAATGGATGAAGCTGAAAATAATCACTGAGTGAAGTCACTCGGATACAGAAAGAAAACTGCCACATGTTCTCATTTAGAAAACTGTCACATGTTCTCTCATGTAGACAGTAGCTTTGAATCTTGGAAGATGTTTCAACTTGGAAGATGTACCCACAGAAGTTAGGAAATTAGTGAGGAGTCATGGGGAGAAGGGAATTCCAAAGGAAAGGGGAATGGAAACTAATAGAGCAAGAAGGATTAAGTGGGGTGGTGGATGGGAGAGCAAGGTAATAGGAATATAGGGACTAACGTTGAAGAACCTTGAAAAACTGTATAAATCTAAGACTGTAGAAGCTTCCTAAAATATATACATATAAAGAGTTTAAATGAAGTTACCCATTTACAGTGGGACAATGCTTCTCCTAGACACCACCGGCTATTAAATGAGTTCTCTCTTCCCAAATGTTTGTCTGTAAAGTCCTACAATCTCCCTCAAATATTAGGCTATGGCCACTGGTTAACCTCCAGAAGTGATGGTAAAAACCTATTGCTGAAAACACCACATTACATGAGTCATAGAACATAAAGAAATCAAACTATTACCAATGTGAAAGTTCATCCCTACTGCTTAGTGTTCAAAGCACTGAAAGATACTATGCATGTTAAGGAGAGAATTTATTATCGAGCCTACCTAATTGTGAACCCTTTGAGCTCAACTGTCAGCCTAGCAAGATGTGCCACTGTTATAATAGTAGCATGAATGTTATAGGAGTAACCAACCACTTTCTATTGGACTAAGGTCTACTGATCAAGACATAAGTAATATTTGTTTCCACTAATATGGTCAAAAACTCATGGGTAGGTAACCATAGGCCCTAGGGGAGAACCTACTACTATTATTCTTCTAAATATATACAGTATTGCACTGACTCCTAATAACCCTTCACACAATCTTCATCAGAGAAAATTCTTTTTGTAGCAGATAGTGATTAACACAGAGGCCCACATCTGGCCAACATGCAGCAAATAAAAAGATAAGGGAGTATTCAAACCTAAACGGGGAATCTGTTTCACACCCATTCCTCCAAATGCTCAGATATCACCACATTTCATATTTCTATAAACAAATGCAAACATAAAGAACCTTATTGCCTGACAATAGAAACAACTTGTAGTGTTCGCTGTATTATTATTTAGGACAAAATGACTAAGAAAGTTGAATGAACTATTATATAAAACATATTATTCTACTTCAGATGTGTAAAGTATTGTAGTGATATATTATTTATGATTTTACTAAAGCTTGCCTGAGGATTCAGAAAGTAAAGTCAGCCACAAACCATAGGAGACACTTTAATTCCAGTAACCTGTTGCTAGGAGATGGTGGTACACTCCTTTAATCCTAGAACTCTGGATTAAGAGGTAGACAGGTCTCTGTGAGTCCAAGGTCACCTAGATCTACACAAGATTGAATAAGTCTAAAAGAGAATTATAGCTCACACCTTTAATCCCAGCACTAGAGAGGTATATAAGACAGGAGCAAGGACTCAGTATCAAGCATTCATTCTCCAGGCACATTGAGGATTCTTCAGCCATGTTGAGGAGAGGAGGCAGGATGAGCCCATTCAGCCTGAGGTAGTAGCCCACTACTTTGCTTTTCTGTTATTCAGCTTGAAGTTTGAACCTCAATATCTGTCTCTGGGTCATTTATTTATTCATGTTACAACGTATCTTTTACACATTTGTGTGTGTGTGTACATGTAAGCATACCCTTGGCACTTCTGTAGAAGTCAGAGAACAATTTGCAGGAATCGGTTCTATCCTTCACTACATGGCTTCCAGGAATTGAAAGTCATCAGGCTTGGCAGTAAGTGCTCTTACTCACTGAACGATCTAGCCAGCCTCATATATGTTAAATAATGATGCATTTATGACTAGATGAATTCATTTCATAACAAATTATTATTATAGTATATTTACAACAGTACTATATATCTCAAATTGCTGCTTTTATTCTGAAATGAAAGAGAACCTGAGCCAGGCATATGCATTCTATTTTAAATATTTTAAATGAGTATCTTTTTAGTCCTTAGGACTATTTAAATAGAAAGTGGCACAGTTTAAAGAGAAAGCAGTGTTCTTAAAAACTAACGCTTCCCACAAATAAGACAATCAGTGTTAACATGTGGCCTCCACATGCACACAGGTACACAACAAACATATAAGCACATACATCACATTTTAAAATAAATTAAAAGAAGACAATATAAGATGCTACAAGAATCTTAAATATGCTTACATTTACTCTTGGAACTACTGAATTCCACCCTGCTTTCTATCAAAGGAATAACTAAAATGGATTTTTGTACATATTAATAAAGAATACTTACTTTTGAAGAGACCTAGTAATAGGAATCATATTTTCCTTCAATTGCACATTACAGAAATCATCCTCTGATACCTATTTTAAAAACCAAAAAAAAAAAATTAATTAATCAGTTATACCAAATTATTTTTGGAGATCAATTAGTATTTTCATTTTTCCTTCATTCTAAAACTATAACTACTTAGACTCATTGTTCAGTTCTTTTAAAATATGCTTCTAAACATATGCCCATTAAAGAATCTTACTTTAGCTTGAAATTACATCTTCACTTAAGAGGTTATATGTCAATGATGTTTAAGATTTAGGGAAGTACTAGTTATAGTGTACCTTAATGCTATGATTAGAGCACCAGTAGGAAAAAAAAAAAGAATACTGTAATTTAAAGGAACAGGTTGGAATACTAAAGCTGATTCATTCATCAAGCTCACTGACTAGAATAAAGCTCTACTGAATGGCAATAAAACTGATCAGGAAAGTAAGCCAGGCACAGAAATTCAAGCAGTGCATAATCTCACTTACATATGGAAGTGTGAAAAGGACAACTGTTAAAGCCATGGGGCTCTTGTTACAGGCATTTGCAAGCCACCCAGCATGGGTGCTGGAACCTGACTTGAGCCTTCTGTAAGAGCAAGCCTTCTTGTCACTAAACTATTGCTCCAGTCACTGGATCACACAGTAAACTAGAGGCTAGCTGAGCAATGACAGATGAGATGTTGATAAGTATTTAAAATTACACTCAGGAGGAATAAGTTCAAATTAGCCACTATATAACTACAGTGGTCATACTTAATAATATATTACAGACTTGAAATTTTCAAGTAGATTCTAAATGTTCTCATGATAAGAAATACCTATAGAAGGGGATATACACCAATTAGCTTGATTTAGATATTCCATAACCTATACCTATTTAAGGCATCATATTACATAAGAAACATCAAAATTTTGTCGCAAAAACATAAATAAAACTGAAAGTAAATAGGTTAATCGGTTTATATTCATGTCCCACTTCCAAGATAATGGCAGTCAGAATTCACTGCAAGTAGATATGGGAGAATATAAACTCTATAGTCCTGTACTTTGAAAATTTATCTTCTACAGAATAGCATAAAGCAGAAAGACATTTTTCAAAATTTCTAAGAAATACACGAATTAAAAAAAAAAAAAGTGTTGTCCTCAGAAGTGCCAGTAAACACAGAGTAACAAGAATAAATTTGCTTCTCTAAAGTACAAAGGTGGAGAAGTCTAAAATTGAGACCATTTTCTGGGCTTCACAGAACCTGGAAGAAGTTGTTGTGTTTGTAAGAAGGCAGACAACAGAAGAAGAAAGAAGGAAGAAGGAAGGAAGAAAAAGAAAGAAGAAGGAAGAAGAAAGAAGGAGGAGGAGGAAAGAAGGAGGGAGGAAGAAGCAGCAGCAGCCAGACAGATTAATTCTGCAGGATGTTTAAAGATGACATCAGTGCCTCTTTCATACTATAACGGTGGCAGCTGCATCTCTAAATAGGATGCTGAACTTATAAACATAAAACAAGCAGAAAAATAGCTCAGAAGCAAAGAGAAAAAAAAGAGAGAGAAAGAGAGAACCGCTTTAAAAGTCTAATACTACATGTGAGTAAAAATTTCTTTAAAAATCTATAACTATCCCATCTCTGCAGGTCCACTCTAAGTTCCCACCTGCAAGATACTTGATCCCCACAGCAGGGCCACTGCTAAAGAAAGAGGCCTCAGCTGGAGAGTGCCAGTTTCCAGTGAGATCCGAAACTTCCCAAGTATCAGCTTAGCCTTTATCCTCTTCAACAAGCCATTGGCTAGAGGTGAGTCTGGGCCCAACTGGGGCAGCCTCTCCCCTACAACCTTCTGCCCCCAACTCCCTGGGTTGGCCCCTGAAACCGCTGCTCCTATGTCCTGTCCCCATCGTCCCCATCCCCATCGAGAGCACCCTTGGAGCTCTGATACACAGCCACACATCCCCACCACAAGACGCCCCCCCCCACCCTGTGCCCTACTCCGCCCACTGTCCCTCCACTCTGGTTGATTACTGGGACAGAGGGTGGAGTCAACAGTCCACCCTACTTCAGGGATTTATGGGGACTTCTCAGAGCAACTCTGAACAAAGGAGACCTGACTATCCATGCGGGACCACCCGTAATTTCCACCTGCTTGGTCTCTGACCCCACCTCCAGTCCTCTGATAGAGTCCCGGGCCCCTCCCAGAGATCCGCCTATCTCTGCGGGACCACTGTGAGTACCTGCTGACATCTTCTACTGGACCCTCATCCCTGGCCCCATCCCTGGGTCCCTGTCTGCGGAGACTTCCTATAGAGCTTGGACCACCCGGAGCTACAGATATTGAACCTCTAACCCACATAAGCCCACCAGGGAAATACCATGGAGAGAGGGGGAAACCCTACCAACACCTACTGGAAGAAGTTATGGGAAGACGGCAATACAAGAACACCTAAAAACAGAAAGACAAGCATGACACCACCAGAATCTAGGGAATCTACACCAACTATAATGGAACACAACAAAGCAGAGGATTCAGAAAGGAACGACTTAAAAATTACCGTGACAAAAATGATAGAGGCCCTCAAAGATGATGTGAGAAAATCCCTTAAAGAAATGGAGGGGAAAAAAACAAAAAAGTGGAAGAAATGAACAAATTGCTTAAGGAAAGTAAAGAAAGTACAGACAGCCAAGAAAAAACAATTAAGCAGGTGAAGGAAACGGTTCAAGACTTGAAAACTGAAATAGAGAAAATAAAGGCAACACAAACTGAAGTAATGCTGGAAATAGAAAAACTGGGCAAAAAATCGGCAACTACAGACACAAACATAACCAACAGAATTCAAGAGATAGAAGAGAAAATCTCAGGCGCAGAAGATAAACAAGAAAAAATAGATTCATCGACCAAAGAAAATCATAAATCCAACAAATCCTTAACACAAAACATCCAGGAAATGTGGGACACCATGAAAAGGCCAAACCTAAGAATAATAGGCATAGACGAAGGTGAGGAAGCCAAGCTCAAAGGTGCCAAAAACATATTCAACGAAATCATCGAAGAAAACTTTCCAAATCTGAAGAAGGACATGCCCATGAAAGTACAAGAAGCATACCGAACACCAAATAGGCTGGACCAAAGAAAAAAGACCCCTCGACATATAATAAGCAAAACACCTAGCATACAGAATAAAGAAAGATTATTAAGAGCAGCGAAGGAAAAAGGACAGGTAACATATAAAGGCAGACCTATCAAAATTACATCTGACTTCTCCATGGAAACCTTCAAGGCCAGAAGGTCCTGGATAGATGTTCTAAAGGTATTAAGAGGACACGGATGCCAGCCCAGACTACTATACCCAGCAAAACTCTCAATCACTATAGATGGATAAAACAAGATATTTAATGACAAAACCAGATTTTCCCAATACGTATCTATAAATCCAGCCCTACAGAAAGTATTGGATGGAAAACTCCAACCCAAGGAAGGTAACTACGCCCACAAAAATGTAGGCAACAGATAATCCAACTACACCAGAAACCAAGGGTAAAGCAGAACAAATATATTCACAACACCACTGCCAACAACAAATCTAAAACAAACAAGCATCAACAATCAATGGTCCTTACTCACCCTCAACATTAATGGTCTTAACTCACCTACAAAAAGACACAGGCTAACAGAATGGATACAAAGACAGAATCCATCCTTCTGCTGCATACAAGAAACACATCTAAGCTTCAAAGATAGACATTACCTCAGGGTAAAGGGTTGGGAAAAGATTTTCCAATCAAATGTAACCAAGAAGCAAGCAGATGTGGCTATCCTAATATCTAACAAGTTAGACTTCAACCCAAAATTAATCAAAACAGATGAAGACTGTCATTTCGTATTCAACGCAGGAGAAATCCATCAACATAAAGTCTCAGTTCTGAACATCTATGCCCCTAATACAAAGGCACCGACATTCGTAAAAGAAACACTACTAAAACTCAAAGCTCATATAAAACCTCACACACTTATAGTGGGAGATTTCAATACACCACTCTCAACACTAGACAGGACCACAAATCAGAAACTCAACAAAGAAACAAAAGAACAGAAGTTATGTCTCAACAGGGGTTAACAGACATCTATAGAACATTCCATCCAAACACAAAAGAATATAACTTTTTCTCTGCTCCACATGGAACCTTCTCTAAAATCGACCATAAACTAGGTATCATAACAAACCTCAACAGATACAAGAGAATAGGAATAGTTCCCTGTACCTTATCAGACCACCATGCTTTAAAATTGGAATTCAACAACACAAATAGCAGAAAACCTGCAAACTCATGGAAACTGAACAATGTGCAATTGTACCACTCCTGGGTCAAAGAAGAAATAAAGAAATTAAGGACTTTCTAATATTCAACGAGAATGAGGACACAACTTACCCGAATTTATGGGACACCTTGAAAGCACTGCTACGAGGGAAGTTCCTTGCACTAAGTGCCCGTATGAAGAAAACAGAGGATAGTCACATAAGAGAATTAACAGCGCAACTGAAAGCCTTAGAACAGAGAGAACTCACTCTGTAGGAGTAGATGCCAAGAAATAATCAACATGAGGACTGAAATCAACAAAATAGAAACCAAGAAAACAATACAAAAAAATCAATGCAACAAAGAGTTGGTTTTTTGAGAAAATCAACAAGATAGAAAAACCTTTATCCAAATTAATGAAAAAGCAGAGAGAGAACAAGCAAGTTAACAAAATCAGAAACGAAAAGGGGAAAATAACAAGGGACACAGAGGAAATCCAGACAATTTTCAGGTCATACTTTGAAAATCTGTATTCTACAAAAATTGAAATTTCAAAGGAAATGGACAAATTTCTGGATAACTATCACTTATCAAAATTAAATCAAGAACAGACAAACAACTTAAATAGACCTATAACCCGCAATGAAATAGAAGCAGTCATCGAAAGCCTCCCAACCAAAAAAAGTCCAAGGCCAAATGGATTCAGTGCAGAATTCTACCAGACATTCAATGAGGAACTAATACCACTACACCTCAAACTGTTCCACAAAATAGAACAGAAGGTTCATTGCCAAACTCTTTTTATGAGGCCACAATAACCTTGGTACCCAAGCCTCACAAAGACACAACTAAGAAAGAAAACTAAAGACCAATATCCTGATGAACATCAATGCAAAAATACTCAATAAAATACTGGCAAACCGAATCCAAGAATACATCAGAGAAATCATCCACCATGACCAAGTAGGCTTCATCCCTGGATTGCAGGGATGGTTTAACATACGAAAATCTGTCAATGTGATCCACCATGTAAACAAACTGAAAAAGAAAAGCCATATGATCATCTCCCTAGATGCTGAAAAAGCCTTCAACAAAATTCAACATCCTTTCATGATAAAGATCTTGGAGAGATCAGGGATAACAGGAACATACCTAAACATAATAAGAGCAATATACAGCAAACCAACAGCCAACATCAAACTGAATGGAGAGAAACTTAAGCCAATTCCTCTAAAATCAGGAACAAGACAAGGCTGCCCTCTCTCTCCATATCTCTTCAATATTGTACTTGAAGTTCTAGCTAAAGCCATAAGACAACAAAAGGAGATCAAGGGGATCCAAATTGGAAAGGAAGAAGTCAAACTGTCTCTATTTGCAGATGATATGAAAGTTTACATACGCCACCAAATAAACTCTACCAGGGAACTCCTATAGCTGATAAACACCTTCAGCAAACTAGCAGGATACAAGATAAACTCAAAAAAGTCAGTAGCCCTACTTTTTTCAGACAACATAGTGACAGAGAAACATCACCCTTTACAATAGCCACAAGCAACATAAAGTATCTTGGGGTAACGCTTACCAAACAAGTAAAAGACCTATATAATAAGAACTTTGTGGCTCTAAAGAAAGAAATTAAAGAAGATGGAAAGATCTCCCATGCTCTTGGATAGGTAGGATAAATATAGTAAAAATGGCAATCTTGCCAATAAGCAATCTACAGATTCAATGCAATCTCCATTAAAATCCCACCACAATTCTTCACTGACCTTGAAAAGATAACAATCAACTTTGTATGGAAAGACAAAAGACCCAGGATAGCCAAAACAACTCTATACAATAAAAGAACTTCAGGAGGCATCACCATTCATGACTTTAAGCTCTACTACAAAGCTATAGTTCTGAAAACAGACTGGTATTGGCACAAAAATAGACAGGTAGACCAATGGAATCGAATTGAAAATCCTGATATTAACCCACGCACCTATGAACACCTGATTTTCAACAAAACAGCTAAAACTATACAATGGGGCGAGGACAGAATCTTCAACAAATGGTGCTGGCACAATTGGATGAGGGTGTGTAGAAGACTGCAGATAGACCCATGTCTGTCGCCATGCACAAAACTCAAGTCCAAATTGATCAAAGACCTCAACATCAATCCAGCCACATTGAACCTCTTAGAAGAGAAAGTAGGAGGTACCCTTGAACAAATTGTTATAGGAGACTGCTTCCTGAACATAACTCCAGGGGCACAGACACTGAGAGAAACAATTAATAAATGGAACCTCTTCAAACTTAGAAGCTTCTGTAAGGCAAAGGACACAGTGGACAAGACCAAATGGCAGCCCACAGATTGGGAAAAGATTTTCACCAATCCTATATCTGACAAAGGGCAGATCTCCAAAAATACAAAAAACACAAGAAACTAGTCACCAAAACACCAAATAACTCTATTAAAAAATGGGGTACAGAACTGAAGAAAGAATTCTCAAGAGAGGAAATCAAAACGGCTGAAAGACACTTAAGAAAGTGCTCTACATCCTTAGCTATCAGGGAAATGCAAATAACAACTTTGAGACACCATCTTACTCCTGCCAGAATGGCTAAAATTATAAACACCAATGACAACTCATGCTGGAGAGGATGTGGAGAAAGGGGAACACTCCTCCACTGCTGGTGGGAGTGCAAACTCATACAGCCATTTTGGAGATCAGTATGGCAGTTCCTCAGGAAAATGGGAATTAGTTTACCACAGGACCCGGCAATCCCCCTCTTAGGCAAATACCCAAATGATCCAAGTCCATGCAAAAAAGACATCTGTTCAACCATGTTCATAGGAGCACTATTTGTAATAGCAAGAACCTGGAAGCAACCTAGATGCTCCTCAACTGAAGAATGGTTAATGAAGATATGGCACATCTACACAATGGAATACTACTCTGCAGAAAAAAATGATGGTATCTTGAAATTCGCAGGCAAGTGGATGGCACTTGAAGAAACCATCCTGAATGAGGTAACCCAGTCACAAAAAGAAAAACATAGAATGTACTCACTCATATATGGATTTTAGACCTAGATCAAAGGATCGCCAGCCTATAATTCACACCACCAGAGGAACTAGGATACAAGGTGATTTCAAGAGATTCATATAAAGTCCCTCACAGAACCAGGAAGGAACAAGTTCCCCAGAGCACAGGGGAAGTGGGGGAGGACAGCGAATGGAGAGAGAAGTAGGAGAAAACGAGGGGGAGGAAAGGAAAACACGTGTGACTAGGAAGATAGAGTCAGGGGAGGAATAGAAGACAAGAGAGAGTGAGAGAGAGAGAGAGAGAGAGAGAGAGAGAGAGAGAGAGAGAGAGAGCACATAAAAGAGGGAGCCAATATTGGTTTGAAGATAAAATTGAACACAAAGAAAAGTCTAGAGAACTACAAGACTGCTGCCAACTAACAATTTGAGCATCTGTGGAAAGGCTACCATAAACGCCCTTCCCGGATATTGAGATCAACAACTAACTTATCCATGGAGCCCTCATCTAATACCTGTTAGAAACAGGAGCAAACATACATAAACACTGAGTCGAAGTAGAACCCAGATGCAGATGGAGAGGACCAGACCAGGCTGCAGAAACACATAGAGACAGCTTACCTAAACAAGGAGGAGCTAACGGCCACCAGACTGATAGCTGGGAAGCCAGCATGGGACTGACTCAGGCCCCCCTGAATATGGGTCTCAACCAGAAGGGCTGAGCAATCTAAGGGACCTCAGACAGTGGAGCCAAGATGTATCCCTGGTGCACAAAAGGACCTTGCTAACACATCCCCCATGAAGGGATAACTGCCTTAACCTAGAGACAGGAGAGAAGCCCTAGTCCCTATTTCACATGACCTGTCAGATCTACATGACCCCAACTGGATGGCATTCGCCTACATATGGAACTGGGGTGGGGGGATGGGAGGGGAGGGTGGTTAGGGTGCATGTGAGAGGGCAGAGAGGGTAAAAGGGAGGGAGGGAGGGTAGGAAGGAGGGAGAGAAGGAGAGAGGGGGAACAAAGATCAACATGTAAAATAATATATTTAAAAAAAAATGCTTTGACTCCAAAATTTAAATTCAAGGGCAAGTTACTGGGGAAAAGGATTTCTAGTTTTGTTTCCACAGAAAATGAAAAGCTGTGGATTCCTTCCAGACTAATGTGGTTTGATCCAGCCAGACCGCCTGAAACAGAGTACCAGGAGATCCTACATTCAAAACAGCTGGACAAAGCAGCCTTACAGACTACAGCCAGGATTTCTGCATCTTCTTAGAATCCCCCATGAAAGCGCCCCTTACCAGCAGGAAGTAGTTTGGAAAGAACGATGCCCAAATTCCCAAATATTGTCTATAAATGTTTGATTTAAATGGACTTGTTTATTTAAAAAAAATCTATAACTATCCAACACTGGTATATGGCATGCCTATACCATGGAATTAGAGGTAAGTCTAAAACAATCTGGTGAAATATGTTTTAACTTTGAATTTGAGTGCTCTCATAGCTCAAGGGTTGATCCTCAACCAGCACCACTATTTTGAGAAGTTGTAGAAACTGAGCTGAGCGACAGGACCTAACTGGAAGAAGCTGCTCACTGAGGTCTGTCTTATCAAAGGTTAAACTTGCTCTCCAGTCCCTTCCTGACTCTTATACCTTAGTAGGATAATGAGATGCACAGCCTTTCCCCACCCTACTTCCTAACACCGCTGCCTTGCTGTTCTGCCCTTCATAGGTCCTGAATCAGTGGAGCCAACGATTATGAACTGAAAGCTCTGAAACTACAAGTCAAAATAAATCATGTTAATATCATATATCCTGCCACTTTAATGAGAAAATTAACATACAATATTAGATTAAAAATCATACATCTCAATTCTTAAGTTCATGCTTACTTGTTTAATCTCTTCTTTTGGCTCTGTATTTTTATTCTGATTAAAACTTTCTTGTACTGCTTGAAGGTTAAATAACATTTGTTTCAAGGCTTCAACAGGACCATGATGTTTGCCTCCAGATAGGGTAGAGCTCTAAAGTTAAATGAGATAAATTAAATTATTCAAGTATAAAAGGAAAAAAGGACATTGTTTCTCAGCAAAGAATTAATGCAACAACCCAGACAATGTATTAAAATTGGCATTTTTAAAAATCCAATCTGTTGTATTTGTGGTCTTACCTAGCACTAGACCCTGCAAAAGCTACTCAACCTGCCAGAAAAGATGTGCCTACCGATATGGTAGCACCATGACAGGGTAGTAGCAGTCTGACTGGATTAGAGGTATGTGCCACAGAAAGGAATTTTATGAAGTCTGATCAGCAGCTCATGGCTAGGGGAGGTCACAAGTCTAAAGTAGAACTTTACCACTGTTATTCTGCTAAGTGGTCAAGTTATCTAAATTGATTTCTACATATTTATATTTATAACCATAGACCTGAGCTGTTCTCAGCCTTGGTAGGGCAGCTTCTTTTCATAGTGGACAGTATAATCAATGGAGAGATACAAAACTAGTTAAAATGATGAGAATGCAAGAATGATTTCTCAGTCATAATTCAGACATCTGTATTAATGCCACATGGCTAAGGCTATACCATGGGAGAGGAAACAAAGAGCTAAGAGGTGTGCTGTGCTATCCTCTGGAGCTCACAACAGCTCTGGTTGCACGTATAAAAGCGAAAGAAGAGGAACCAGCCAACATCCCAGGACGTAAATGATCACCAGGCCCCATCCTTTACTGAAAAGTGACTAGAAGTGACTAGAAGTTAATAGTTGCTGGGAGAGGAATCACTCTTTTTTGAGGATGATGCTCCACCCATCACATATGAACAGCATCAACTGGATTTAGTGTTATTAAAACAAATAACAACAAAAGAAAACAAGGCATGAAGCTGAGGGAGAGGAATGTTGGGGGCATATGGGGGTATTTTGAACGTCAAAGTATTTCATTATATATTTGACAAATATATATATATTTGTCAAAGAAAAAGCGGTGTGTGTGTGTGTGTGTGTGTGTGTGTGTGTGTGTGTGTGTGTGTGTGGGCTAACTACTCCTAGGCATGGGCCTAACTTGGAGTGTTGTTGATATACCCAGTGTCTACTAAGTCACCACTTCTCCATACCTAGTCTCTAGGTGAATATAAATAGTAATAAGCAGTTTAGCATATTCTTCCTAATTCTTGATACTTGAAAATTAATATTGTACAAAATTAATATTGTACATTTATTTTACATCTCAAAACCATAGTTTTTGGACAAAAATGTCTTCAGAATCCAGATAAACCAAAATGTTCTTTTCAAATATCTAAAAGAAATTAGTTGTCAACTGAATGCAAACCATATTTCAAATAAATCTTTCTCAACACACTTTCAAGTATATTTTCACTGGTCTGTATAAGAGAAAGCCTGACTCACTGGCTTATGAAAATGTACCATTTTTACAGTCACTACGTAAATGGAACGATCAGTCCTCAAAAACTGAAAAAAAGAACTACCATAAAATCCAGCTACTACCCTTGTTATATACCCAAAGAACTACAACAACACGCCAGAGACACTTGTATATCCATGTGTACTATTCATAATGACCAGGAAATGGAACCAACCTTTATGTACAACTACAGCTGACTCTATAAAAAAAAATGTGGTACATAAGCACAAAAGTTTAAGCAGGCACAAAGAAAAAAATTACATTTGCAAGAAAATGAAATGAAACTGGAAATCATGTAGAAAATGAACTAAACTCAGAAACACTATCTTTCCTCTTACATAGACATGAGATTTAAAACTAGATTTTCAATTATATGAGTGTGTGTGTGTGTGCGTGTGTGCATGCTTGTGTATATGTTTTCATACAGAGATGCTGTCTTTTAACCTCTTTAGAGCCTTCTACTTAAAGACCTAACATCCAAATATGCTAACTTTCCATATATTCAAAGAGCATGACAGTACTTAAGTATACAGGATGGTCAATTCTTTGAAGATAGTATAAGGATTTTTAATTTATTCATTTTTTATTCATGACATTTCTTAGGAGGTCCCTAAAGTGGCTACTTCACAGTTACAGAAAACAGATATATCCCTTTCATCAGGAGATGGGGGAGAAGAATGAGTAGTTAGTGCTTAAATGGGAATGAGATTTAATTTGGGGAGATGAAAAGGTTCTGGATAGAGTTGTTGGTGATGGTTGTAAGAATATCAAGTTATTAAAATGTCACTGAACTATATACTTAAAAATGAATTAACATGGCATTTTTGTCAAGTATACTTTACTACAATAAACTAAAAGTTCAGAAAAAGCAGCAGTGTAAGGATCCAGTTAGGCTGAAAGTCAGTATTCATCATTCAATTTTCTGAGACCTATCACTGAAATCTAATATTGAATGTCTCTGAAGACATTTTTGTTCCTCTGATCCAGTCATGTTTTACACATTCCAAAAACTAGTTAAACTTCCTCTAAGTAACAGACTAAAAAAACTGCCTCCATGTGAGCTGGTTATGGAGAAGTATCAGAACAAGAAAAAAAAAAAAAAAAAAAAAGATCCTATCCCAAAGAGAACAAAGACTGGCCTGTGGAAATTGAGAAATTAAGACAGGACAGCTAAGAAGTATAGATAAACAGAAGGTTAACAATGTGGTAAGAAGTAAGCTGAACCCAACAGCTCCCTGGTAAATAGTGGGAAACAGAAGCTTCATCAATACTGAGGGTGCCCTAGTTGACTTGAACAAACAGGCTTACCCACAAAATCAGATCACAGCTCTCTCAAGCTTCAGAAATGGCTGAAAGTTGTGTTAACTTCTTTTGTGACTTCTCCAGCAGGATGGAGGAGCAATGGAGAACACTCCTGCTACAATGGCATCTTGACAGGGTACTGGTCTTAAGTATTTTCCATTGTGCTAAAATACCATGACCAAGGCAACTTAAGAAAGAAAGCATTTATCTGGGCTTACAGTTTCAGAGGGTTAGAGCCCATGACAGTAGCAGGAATAGCGGGAACTCACATCTTCATCTACAAGTAGGAAGCAGAGAGGAAGCACATTTGGAATGGTAAAAGTCTTTTGAAACCTCAATGCCCAAGACCCAAAAGTAAGATGACACACTTCCTCAACAAGTCCACACCTAATTCTTTCCAAACAATTCTGTCAACTGATGACCAAGTACTCAAACACATGAAAATATGGGGGCCATTATCATTCCAAGTACAAGTACCTATTCATTTAAATTAAGATACCCTTGATGAGTCTGAGAACTGGAGGCCTAAATTCAACCTGTTGCTGAAACAGATGCTGGGAGAATTTTATGGAGAATAAGAGACCCGAGACACTGCTAAATCACATACATACATACATACATACATACATACATACATACATACATACACACACACACACACACACACACACACACACACACACACACACACACATGCAGACATCATTTGGTTTAGCACAGGTAGTTAATGGTGTAGCAGGAAGGAGACTCACCCTTAGTAGCTTCATCAACTGAGAAAAACACTATAATCTGATAGTCAAGAGTCTGAGGTCAGCAAGTCTGAAGCAATGGGAATTACTGCTGGTGTGTCCAAGAACTCTGAAGCTCCAGCAAACTAATAATATTCAGTCACATCCCTCTAACAGAATGGTTAATGTTTTTATTTCAGAGTTAATAAAAGCATCAGCCTACATGAATCTCAGTGCCAAAGTTGCCTTCTCTCTGTACTGTAAAAATATTTGACTGCAGATCTAAGTATGGGCAGCAGAGGCCCCTGGTGTACAACACAAGGAAGTTAATAGACAGCTCTAGTAGACATCCCACCCTTGTTCAACACAAACTTAGCACCAGCCCCAATAACACAAAAAACACTGAGTCTAGAAGTCCAGCTGACCCTCTACCCACACAGAGCTGACCTCCAATATCTAACCACCTAAAAGCCATTCCAAATGCAAACTTATTTTCTCTTCTCTCCTTTCCTTTCTCTTCTCTCCTTTCCTTTTTTGCTCCATATTTTCCTTCTTCTTTGTATTATGCATTAGCTATTCCTTTTACTTTACAGTTCTATTTTTTACTCTCCTCAATATACTTACCTAATTTTATTTATGTTTTTTCAGAGACAAGCTTTTTTTACCTCATGTTTCCCATTTATATGTTTAGTACAATTTTGACTTTACCTTGATTTTGTTTTGTTTTGTTTTTAAGAAAAGCCTTTAATATTTTTATGGTTGTTGTTCTACCATTACATATGTCTAATTTTAGTTAGGAAATTGTTCATTATTGGTAAATTATCTTTTTCTTTTATTATTTATTTTTTTAAATCTCTTGGACTTTTCTCTCTCCTTCCAAAACATTCTTCTCTACTCCTCTGCTTACTTCCCTGCCCTTTATTTCACCTTGCTTCTCCCCTTGTCCTCATTCCTTTGCCACCTCTACACTTAGTAATTTTTTACCTAACAGCATACTCTATGTAGGCTGGTTATCGGGGACAGATTTCAGTCAATTTAACCTGTATGCTGATGCTAGAATGATGTGTCCTCGCAGCTACTGGTGATGGGGGTTTCCTCAAAACTGAAACATTCCCTCGAGGATGGAGAGACACTCATGAGTCTCAGGAGGTTAAAAAACAAAAATCACACATGTGGAAAAATAGAACCTTGGAAGCCAATCCAAGATAAAAGGGATGGCATGAGCATCTCCGCAGTAAGGGAAACAGATACCAAGCAAAGAGACAGAGTATGGATAGGAAAGTACTACCTAGGATCTGCCCAAACCTTAAAAATTCTCTTAACATTTGTTTCTTTGCCAATGTTCCTTTACTAAGTAATGTCATCACCTAGCTGCTTGTGTAGAATATCTTGGATTCCTTCAAGACACATCTCAAATCCAGCAATTGCTGGCCACCTCCAATGTGCCTACTCTATTCAAATCATTCTCTACTATTCTGAAGATTGCAATGGTCTCCCGCACGAGTTCTCTACTTCTCCTCTAGAGTCTCATTTCACTTTCTACTTCATAAGGCTCCTAGCCATGTAGCCACATTCTTACCATTCTTTTGCTTGCTCCTTCTGATGGAGCCACACTAACTCATCCTGATAATCCTTCAACATGTCAGCCATACACATATTTTTAATTCAAATCATCATTTCTTAACAGCATACATGTACATTTGTATCGGTAAGACACATAAACTGACTTTGTAAAATAAGGTAATAATTTAAATTATTATGGTATGTATATTATTAAAGAGATGGCCTACAAAGAAAAAGGTCATGTCCCCTACAATGGTCTCCTTTATGTTTTCCAAGGGTGGGGGCAACACAATGTAATGACAGTTCAAACTACATGTATAATTCAACTTTAATTTCTTGTACTTTAGAATACTAAAAACAATTAAAGTAGTCATGGTTTCATGGGTATGTTGGGGAAAATGGATTTGGGAACATTTTTGTTGTTTTAAAATACTAAATAACAGAAATCAGTATCCACAAATTAACTAGAGACTTTCTTTCACTATAAAAATTAACTTTACGGGGGCACATCCCCCATGGAGGGATACTCGCTTAACCTAGAGACAGGAGAGAAGTCCTAGTCCCTAGTTCAAATGACGTCACAGATTTAGATGACCCCTCCTGGAGGACATCACCCTACATGTGGAAGAGGGAACTGGGACCGATATGGAAAATAAAAATTAAACAAATAAATTAATATAAAAAAATTAACTTTACTCACCTGGTTCTCATCTTTTAAAAAGTCTTCAAGAATCTCATTAATATATTGTGTCCTGGAATTTTGTTGAGGATTATCATCAGCTTTAACAGGGACAGGAGATTTGCTAAACAGGTTTTAAAGGATACAAGCAGTAATTAAGTTCTCAAAGTTTAAAAAGTAGGCATTATATAACTTGAAATCTTTCACTTAAAACCAAGAGAGGCTATAGAGACAGCTCAGCAGTTAGGAGCACGTGCTATGATTTCAGAGGACCCACACCATGTGCCTCATATCCACCTGGAACTCCAGGGCCAAGAGATAGATGATAAATAGATATATAGGTATATAAATAGATATAAAACACCCTCTCCTGGCTTCCACACACTGTAACTGAACATAAGCACACACTCAATAATCTGAAGTTGTGAACAAAAAATTAATGTTATGGATATAACTCATATTTGAGTTATGTATTAATCCCCCATCTTTCCTGTACCCCTTGCTTGTTTTTTCCAGCTTTATAGATGACACATATATAAAGTAAACCACTACTCCTCAACTGACTCTCCCAGCTACAGAACAGCTTCAGAAGTTCATCTGTTTGACAAGTACCTTTTCCCAATAATAGGAAAGCTGAGAGTATAGCTCAGAGGCAGGGTCCTATCCTAGCATCAGGAGGCTCTGAGTTCAATCCCCCAAGCCATGCATACATACCAAACAAGTTACTATCTAATGATAATCTCACCTCCACATGACTTTAGGTAATTTGCCTATTTAATCCTGAGTATCTATATTTCTTGTCCTTATTTCATGTACTGTAAAATAAGTAATTCTCAATGTGCCATATATACTCAATAGTCACTGCTTTCTTAATGTTCTGAATAATAACGTACTCCAACAAAATAAAAATGTTGCCAATTTAGAGTCTATTTGTCACAGAAATAAAAGAAATTATCCTATTTCTTTTCATATCATTATAAAGTTATACTTCTAATTTTAAAACACAATATCCAGTAATCTTTATATAAAATTCAAACACTTAATGCTAATCATTTTCTTAGTAAGAAGCATTTCTTTGTTGACATATCTTAAACTTTGCTATAAGTTTTTTCTCAGTCTGGGTAGTCTTTTTGCTCACTCACCACTCAACAGTATAGTTTTAGATATTCATTGATGATACAGACAACAGAGAGGTTCACTACACTATCCTATTTTTATATTTAAAATTTCACAACAAAATCTGTTTAAAGTATAATTAGTCGATTTTGATTATGTTCTACCTTTTACAGACATGCATGTGTGCGTGCATGTGTGTGTGTGTGTTGTGGGTGTGTGAACATGTTTGGGCCAAGATCAATCTCATATGCATTTAGCTAATATTATCTATCTTATTTTTCAAGGTCTCTCACTGAACCATGATCTTCCAAATCAGCAAGACTAGTTTGCCTAAAAACCCAGAGATCCTCTTGTCTGTCCCAGACCCTGGGATTACAGGTGCACACCACCGTACACAGCTTCTTACACTCAAGTCCTGTGCAAGCACTTCACCAACTGTCTTATCTCTCCAGCATCTATTTTCTACCTTTTAGAACACTAAATGCAAAACACATGCAGTAAGTACATTCAAAAATTCTACCTTTAATCAGCCTTGATATTTATTCATTTTGGTCTCAAATGAAAACAAAGCATTGTATCTATTCTTTGCTAACACAATGACTGATTAGGAAATGAGAAAAATGAAGGAAGTTAACATTAAAAAAGCTAGTTATAAATTCCCTTTTAAAAAGATATTGTTGAAATAAAACTAAAAGGAGAAAATAGTTTTATAAGCAATCTTGGTCAAAAACTAGCCTCAGTACTTCCATTTTCAAACCATTGAACCTCTTAACGACCCTAAGTAACTATCATTTCTCCATCTTTAAAATTTAAAGAGCTTACTCAGGTATCAAAGGCAAAAGGAAGGGATGAGATGGGATGATTGAAATCCCAAATCAAGTATTCAATCGAGAAGCAATAGAAAAGAACCTACATACGCAGCTGGCTGACAGGGGAGGATTGAAACCTGAAGGCCAGCCTAGGCTACAGAGCATGACACTCTCTCAAAATAGGAAAACAGATCCAAGAATTCGGGAAGACACTCAACAAAGACACAGAAGAGATACCAGTACTGTGTTCTGGTGAGTCCTGATGGAGTAAACACACTAATGAAAAAGCTTCCTTATATAAGCACTGATCAACACCATTCTCTTCTTAGGTGTGTAGGCACTTTTCGAATTATTAAAAAAAATAGTGTCATAGGAAAAATGAGTATACAAATGAAAAGAACCCCACAAACTATAACAGATCATATCTAAAAATGCACTGTCATCTCATAAGAGCAATGACTTAAAAGAGAAAAATCAAAATGCAGACAAGAAGTAAATGACAAGTGTCAGGAAGGCGTATCATTTAAAAAGTAATGAGAATTCAATAATACTACCTCAATTGCAACATAATTTTGTCAAGTTCCATTATATATATATGTGTGTGTGTGTGTGTGTGTGTGTGTGTGTGTGTATACACTTATACATATGATCACACATACACACATATATATATACACACACACAATTCAACAGTAAAACAAAATGAATATGTAGCATGTATTTTATAGAAGTATATGAAACATTACACCATCTTATATTTACAAATGAAATGTACAAGTTAAGCAATATGAAAGATGCATCATACCACTGTTAATTATTAAGTTATGTGGAAAGCAAATCTGATGTGGACATACCACTTTTTCATTTGGTGCACTAAACAATGTCACTTACAAAGTAACAGGAACATTTTCCCATGACCGCTCTGCTTCAAGCTTATCTAAGGAACAAGGGCTGTCATCCTTTTCCACAGGCTTTGATAAGTCTTCAGTAGACTGCCTGAGATTCTTCTTGGCCTTCAGGATAAGCAATTCAATTTTGTCACCTAATTTTAAAAACACTTTTTAAAAAAAAAATAGGAGTCTCAAAACATCTCATAGTCAACTGGAAATAAGAATATTTGGAATGTGTACATCTATGACAGCAAATTAGGACAGAGTATGATGCTTTAAACAAGGAAACCAGAGAAGTTCTATAGCTTTAAAGTGTCAACCATTTATATTATGAAAATGCTATTACATCATAAAACTTCAACGAAGTATATTAAATTTTAACTTATCCTTCATTTTAAAAGACTAAAAACAAGTGGGAGAGAGGGAAAGAGGTAGGGAGGGAGGGAGGAAGGGAGGGAGGGAAGCAAAGAGGGAGAGAGGGAGGGAGGGAGGGGGAACTGGGATCAATATGTAAAATAAAAATAAAAAAATTTGTTTATGGAATATATATGTATAATTTTATATATATTATATAATACAAAAAAAAGACTAAAAACAAAATATTACCACAGAATGGCTTTGGGGATTTTCCTGGGAGAAGTGGATTCTCACACTGACACTGGCCATTTTCAGAATCACAGTTATATTTGTTAACTATTCCTTTATTCTCGCTGAAGGAATCTGTAAAGTTTGAAGGTTGAAAAGAATATTCAAAACAATCTACTTTATTTGTAAGCTGAGTAGTTCTTTGGGTCTGGTAACTATGCATAGGGGAATATTCCTCTTCATTAAGTAATTTAGAAACCCTTTGACTATTTGCATCAGGTAGCAAGTCTTGATTGTGTAGCCAAATTGGATACTTAAAATCAGGTATACTAGTTACCCCTGAGACATTAAGATCGGATTTCTGGCTCGTGAGCCATCTTGGATAATTCTTTTCAGGACCGTACTTTGAACTGTCCTTGAAGGATGATTCTTTAGGAAAGGATAAAGATGATTCCAAGACACATTTATTATTTCTATTCATAGGTTTTGGGGTTCTGGGCCTACCACATTTCTTTCCATTTACATTTGTGTATACATCAGGAGTAACTACATTATCCTTGCTCTTGGGAATAGGGTCTACGTGAAAATTTGGTGTCTTTTTAATGTCCGATGAATCCTGTCTTGCAATGTATTTCTTGTTTTTCTTGCTTGGTCGGTGACCAGGTATAACAGAAGTGAAGGGAAAAGATCCATCTGCTGGAAATCTTAACAAGTCATCAGTTGTGAGACTAATGGAGTCCGCATTATCAATAGTCTCTCTTCTGTAGTATAAGGAGTCTAAGTGCTCATTGTGACCATGACTCTCAAAAGCTGAAAAACAAAGCATAATTTTCTTCATCATATGTAATAGTCAACAGTAAATGAGAATTATTTAAATTTAAGAATCTTTTCGGTGCTTTCCCTTTGTCATTAGTTTTGAATAGAAATACTAAACATATGATCTGGAAAACATAAAATATGCTTTTTCATACCTCTTCAGTGTTTAATTTCTATATATATTGCAACCAGCCGAATTTGTATGTGTTCTCTAACTTACTGTTTCTTCAACTTTCTCCACAAAGACATTCCTTTTACATAGTCACAGTAAGGTTGATTACTGAAAACTGGTTACTGCATAGGGAGAAGTATGCTATTAAACCAGATGGAAACACAATTTGCTTTCTCTCCTAGTCACCCTGCAATGACATGGCTAAACAGAGAACACTGTTCTAGGACTCTTCTAGAATATATCACCCACATCCTTCCCATTCTATACTCTTCTGCAAGTGTTCAGTAGAGTATTTCTCAACAACTCATTTTTCCAGACTTATCTTCATGAAAGCTTTATTAAGGACAGACTCTTAGTACATTGTGACTATTGATCCATACAATACAAATGATATAATAATATTCCTGTCTGTCTAGCTGAAACTGAGCAAGCATAAACTCAGAATGACTGGGATTATTTAGGCAGTTTGTTAAGACAACAATAGCAGTATACTTTCTATCATGCCACAGAAAAATGGCTTAAGAATTTAGGATCAGCCACTTACTGTTGTTAGTTATATTTACTGGTGTCCTCTCCAAGGTCGAAAGATCTTAGCTAAAAACTCTTGGGATTGTGACAAGTATACAATCCATTTTAGAAAAATATCAAAATTCAGCAATATAAATTACTTTTATTCCAAAATAAAGTTCTTTACAAGGCACCTCCCTCTAATATGTTAATCACTGGACATAAAAGAATGCAAGAGAGTGTAAAGAATAAAGCATACCATTGTTTTGTTTATGCACATAGCTGGAAAGTCGCAGCTTATTACCAGACTCTTCATCAATGCTCACTCTGCCAGGGTTTGCTCCAGGATGTTCTCTGCTTAGATCAAAATCATCAATATAGGCCTGTAAAGCCTCAGAAGCAGAACTGTACAATTTGTCCTTATACTGAAAAGAGCCATCAGAGCTGGAGGAACTACCACTTAGGCTGCAGCTTGCCAGGAGAGAAGACACTGAAGATTCCCGGGAACAAATTCTGTGTTTTGTGTTTGATTTTGCCATGGTTTTCTCAAAATGAGTTATTCATTTCCATTAAATACTGCAATACAAAAGCAAAATGTTCCAGTGTCAGTGGATAATGACCATAAGCAATAAAAACTTCAATGTGCACACAAAATTTTTCATTAATAAAATTATCAACAATAGGTATTTCTATTTAAGCACTGAATGTTTTCTATTATCTTTACTGATAGTCGTTTCATGAATGATTTAGAAAAAAAACTGAATACCTACTATGTGCTTGTAAATACACATACAAAAATTATCTCAGCATATACACGGAATGTTGAGGAAAGGGTCCTCACTTTTTCAAAGTCCTAAAAACTACTAAGGGACAGTTCTTTTTTATTATGGTGATATAGTCTATGACATCACAATACCTATCATTCTCCAACAGACAGTATTTCTTTAAGACTTACAAGCTTACTGCCATGCATTCCAGATAGCAGGTAGTCAATTTTTAAGCCATCAGGTAGTCAATTTTTAAGCCATCAAATAAAGCATCAGAAACAAGAAGGAACAAGGGATAACAAGCAGCAATATAAAATTTTAGCCAACTCTTCTGCCAAAAAAAAAAAAAAAAACTATAAAGAACAAAATAATACTTATCTACAGAAATATGCAATTGACAAATCTTATTTCAGAATGGGCTAGCTATAAGCTTCTTAAAAATTAAGAATCTCCTCTTGACCTTCATATCTTTGGTACTATTGATTCTTTGTAAATTAGTTTAAATCGTATTTCATGTGTACAGGTTGTGTGCCTACATGTACATGTGTGGACCACATGTGTGCCTGGTGCCCAGGAAAGTCAAAAAGGGCTGCAGATCCCCTGGAACTACAGGCATAGGTATTTGTGAGCCAACATGTGGGTGCCAGGAATTGAACCTGGGTCCTCTGTAAGAGTAGGCAGTTTCTCCAGCTCCTGTATTTTCAATTCTTAATAGATTCGTTGCTTTCTTAAGCAAGTTTAACTGATTTGGAAATTCATTGAATATATTCAACTTTCTGTTTTTCTATTTACAGTGAGAGAACTCTTAGCACAACAAGAATATATCTGTAAACAAGAAATAACAGAACAGACAGTTATTAACTCAGAGCATAATAGTTATTGAGAATTGAAGTATTTTCTGTACTAAAACTTCACGAATAGGATGTGACACATGCTATGATGTTGCAAGGTCAAACATTTAATCCTGGTGATAATTTTGGAAATTTTTTTGATTAATGTAATATTAGCAATGACAAATTTAAAATATAACAACTTTTCTAACTAAATGAAAGTCAGAGGGTTGCTGTAGCTCCTGCCTGTATGCCTAGCACTTAGAGGCTGAGGGAAGAAGCAGCATTGGTTAGCAATAGCAGAATATAATATTCACAGTTGCTCAACACCCCGCTATTAGTTTTTCTTTAAAGAGGAACTAGGCAAAATCAATGCTTTCTTTATCCTTCTTACGAATCTTTAAATTAGCTCAACTAAATCCGCTTGAGTACCATTTATGTCTTAACAGAATACAAATTAGGCTGCCAATTCCATTCAAAAACTCAAGAACAAGTAAATTCTTCAAAAGAGAAAGTTGTTGGATTTAGTTCTCAGTGGGTGGCTGAGGGTTAGCTCCATCTACATAACAAAACGAAAGAAAATCCGAAATTCTTTGGTTAAGTTTTCAAGCCTGTGCAGAATAGTTTTAGAAACCCCTGAGCAACTGTAGCCCTGCTTCCAACAATTATCAACACACTTCAACTGTGTACGATACCTCCCCTTCCATTTCAGCCACAGGACTGTTTCCAATTACACGTATTTTAAATAAACCCCATGTATCTTACCCATTCCCTCCGCGAGCGCGTCGGTTTGAAACCTCCAAAATGAAATTCATCGCGTTGAATGGTAAACTTAGGGGAGGAAACTGCAACCCCCTTGATTCCAAACACAAGAAGAATATTTGTGCCAACAGTGCAAAGGAAGTTGCACTGGAAGTTAACTCTGGATCGCTCTGGAAGTTAGGAAGAACGACGCCTGGAAACTGCAGCTCCGAGGGTTCGGAAGCCTAGGCCGGCCTCGTCTGCAGAGGAAACGTCGATGGGCCGGGAACACGGTGACTTTCGCGGACCTCGGGCTGCCCGGCGCTGGCCCATCGGTGTGTGCGGGGCGGCAGCGTCCCTGCGGGTCGCGGTCAGAGACACGGCCTTCAGTGAGTACATGCTTCCTGCGGCAGCCGAGACCCCCAAACCCGCAGCCCCGAGCCTTGCCGGGGCCCCCGGGCCGCCGCACCCCGGCACGCCCCACTCTCCTTCCCTACCGCCCCCTCCCTTGGGCGGGTCCCCCTGCTCCGTCCCGCTGGGGAAGGGAGCGACAGCTCACCGGGACACTTTTTAAAGCGCACACTTCCAGGCCCTCGCTCGGAAGCCCAGGCCCTTCGCAAACCGGCCGAGGCGACAAAGCATCCCTGAACCGGACACCGCCCTCCTCGAGACCGCTATTCCCTCATCTGTCACAGGCCGGCTCGACGCCCGCGCTCGCATTCAAACCGAACCAATATGGCGCCGCCAGCCCGCGGGGCGCATGCGTTGCACTAGGCTCAGAGCAATGGAGGGGGGGGGGGATTCGAGAGCCCGGCGCAGAGTTCATAGGTCAAAGGGCATTGAGGGGCGTTAGATCGCAGTCCCTCAGTGGAGGTGGGGTTTCTCCCTTGACCTCTCTCTGGGTTGGATGGGGAGGTTCTAGACTCCATCCAGGGTCCACGCCATCCTCATCCGGCCACTGTTCTTGACCACTCCTCGCGCCTGGCAGGCCGGGCTCCCTGGGCTGTGGGCGGAACTGTGCTCTAGGAGACTTGCAGGCACCCTCAGTAGCGGTCCCTTTTCCAAGAGCCTCGCTGCCTAAGTCTTCCCCGTGAGCTTTGCGTGGTAACTTTAGAGCATCCTCTCTCAAGATAGGTACCGAGTCAGCAAAGGGCACTGCCCACTGCGCCCTTCCTCCTCCGCCACCACCCATCCCCATTCTGTCCCAGAGCTCTGACCCTCCTGGGCCTCCACCCATCTCAAACACTGCTGCAGATTCAGGACTGGGGAAGGAAGTCAGTAGTATGGACCAGTGCTGGGATTTAACAACCACTTTGGGGACCTTGATTCTCAGGAAAGAATGGCAGTGACCCAACACAGGCAGCACAGAAAGAGGGAAATTATACAAACATAAAGATCACTCACTAACTTGTGTAAACCTTCTGTCAGCCTGGGACAGGATATGAGGTGGGAAGAATCAAGTTGCAACCCAGTGCTCTATCAAAAAAAGATGCTATCTCAAAATTGGTCTATGTTTGTTTTCCACTGACCCTATGGCTGAAGACATCCTTGACTGCCATTTGAATATGTTCTAGTTCATCCAGTGTTACATCATCAGGTAATAGAACTATACCTGTGTCCTGCACCTTTGTACCATCCCTGGCCTTCTAAATTTTACCTTCCTGTTTCTCTTAGCAAATGAATTGCAGTTCAATGGTTCATTAAACACACACCTAGTGTGGAAATGTGAAATGCAAAAAAAAAAAAAAAAAAATTACAGCCGATGATTAATGCCATTAATTGTGAAATGTCTAAACCAATATTAGGTAAGTCACTGAAAAATAAAAGCCTGTGTTAGGACAAGCCCATACTGAAAACAAACCAAATGATGTTTATGAATGGCCTTAATAAACTAGATTCTTTAAAAATCTAAATTCCATCTTTTAACAGTTCTTCATAAGCAATAGCTTAGATATTTCTTGGCTTTGGGGTGTGGCTAGGTGGTAAAACACTTGCTTAAGGTGATAAGTTCAATTCCCACACTGGAAACAAAACAAAACAAACAAACAAAAAAACATAAAACAGTACTTTTCAGCCACCTGGTAATGGTTTGAATAAAAATATCCCCATAGGCTCAGATGTTTGAATACTTGGTCTCCTGGTCTCCAGTTGGTAGAACTATTTGGGAAGGGTTAGGAGGTATAGCCATGATGGAGCAGTGGGTTTTGAGGCTTCCAAAGGCCTGGGCCCTTTCCAGTGAGAGAGAGAGAGAGAGAGAGAGAGAGAGAGAGAGAGAGAGAGAGAGAGAGAGAATATGTATGTCTCTGTGTGTGTGCCTCCAGCTTTGGAGCTCTCAGCTGTTCTTGCCACCATGCCTTTGCTCTGTCATGGTGCACTCAAATCCTCTGAAACCATAAACTCCAAATGAAATGCTTTCTTTTATAAGTGGCCTTGGTCATGGTGTTTATCACAATAATAGAGAAGTAAGACCTCTTACTTCCACTTTAGGAATGTGTTTTTAATCAAGCTATAAAATGTTAATGAAGGACAATATGAAGATACAAAAGAATGTATAAAATATGTGGGTCTAAGATGTGCATAAAAATAATGGTACATCCGATTTATCCCCTTACAGGTTAACAGATAATGGAGATCTCCACCACGATTTGGAGAATAGTTTCATTGAGCACTAAAATTCTGGACTTGGTTTGTTAAGAAAGGTAAAGAAACCAGGAATCTAAAGTGGCTTTTCTAAAATTAAAAATATCACCTAGTTGTTCTGCCTTTCTAGAGAATACAAAGTTATGATCTGGCCCAAAGCGTTTTAGGTGAGAGCTAAAGGTCTTCTAAATGTCATGATATTTCTATGTTAAGATGTATTAATGTGCTTAGGAGCCAGTTATTTGAAGACCTTTTTAGTGATGATTCTAACTATTCATTATAAGAAACTAACCTTATTTGAGCACCTTGAACAAAACCCCTCACTGCTTCAAGCAAGTTTACATATAAATCTCTTAGCCTTTATGGATCCCATGCATATTATTATCTCCTTTCTATAAATGCAGGAAGTTGAAATTCAAAGCCAAGGTATTTTACCAGCTTTTGTGTCAAAGTTGGGCTTTGAACCAGGTATGTTCACATGTTCTTTGTAACACCTCTCCAGCTTCCCTAACTGAAAACTGGTTGGTGGGCTGAATGGTCAGTGATACCCAAGCTGCCTGAACACATTCACCTCAGACACAATGTCGAAATTGTTTTTGCTATACTTAACTGTTGTTATTAGTCCCTTTGGGAAACTACTGTGTATGACCATAGACTAGATGACTTATAAATAGCAAAAGTTGATTTCTCACAGTTGTGAAGGCTATAAGTCTGACCAGAATGCCATAATATTTGGTTTCTGGTCAGGGCACTCTTTTTGAATGCAGGCTGCTACTTTATAGCTGTGTCCTCAAACAATGGGGGAAATAAGCTATCTGAAGTCACTTAGAAAGGCACTAATGTTATCCATGAAAGTTTCTGCCCTCGTGACCTAATGTCTGTGAATGTGATAGAATGAAAACAGTTGTTGGCAGTACTCTCCAGCAAGGAGATATCATGTCTGAATAATTGACATTTAGGTGAAAGATTCATTGAAGCATAATCTCTTATGAATTTTCCAAGGACAGTACAGTAAATGCCAGCACCTTGAGATAGGAAGGTTCTTGGTTATATTTGAGGAATGTCCAGCTAAGCGAACCGAAAGATGGCTGATGGGTGTATACTTGAAAAGGAAATCATATATGGCCTCTGCCACTCACTTTAACAATGTTAATACCATGAGCACATGGCATGCCGAGTGTGACACATCATAAGGGAAAAAGAGCTTTGTAGAAATAATGGTTTATTGAACAACTCTAACATGCCATGCTCTGGGCATTTATTAAACACATTTAGAACTTTATTTTACACATGGACACAACAGCATGTTATATACATGCTAATTTTACATCAAGAAGAAAATAAGGTAGAATTATTACATACCATACTTCCCACAGAACAAAGATCTGATTTCACCCAGGTCCCTGATTCCAAAGTCTGGCTTTTTTATGTGATAGCACATTTTCTCATTTGAAGAAAGTTTTGTGGATGCAAGTGCTCAAGTAATCATTGTGCACTGCTAAGTGACAGATGTTATAAAAATAGTATTAAAATATAACAGAGCACATCTAGTTGAGAAACTGGGGCCGAAGAGTGGCTTCAGCTCATGGCATTTTCATATTTACATGATTACATTTTACCAACGATTTGTTTTTAAATTTTCACAGGTAGACGGGCTATAAGGAAATTGCCCAACAAACTGCTGAAGAAATTTTGGCGTACACTCAAGATATATCTGACTGGAAAGTGGTTAAATCCTCAGTAAGAAAAAAGTATTTTTCAAGAGTTTATTTTTAATGATTGTTTATTGTAAAGACACTTTAAAATAATGGGTTTTTTTTTTATAAGCCAGAAAAACATAGTTTTGTTTTGTTTTAAGTTTGTTTTGTTTTGTGTATCTGACAGTTAATTTATTTCTGGATTTTATTCCCCTTTGAGAAAAAGGTAACTGTTTCCAGCAAGACCTCTAGAATATTCCTTGGAAATCTGTGAGTACATTTTCCTATTTACAGCCATTGTTTTAAATTCAATGGCATTAATAAATTTGGAAGTCAACACCACTTCATTAACTAGAATGAAGTGTTTAATAGTCACTGGGAAATGATGCATGAAGTCATGTGATTTTCATAAAATAGAGCAACGATGTATTATGCAACAATTGTCAGGCATGAATACAGTCACAGAGTAAATCCTTTCAGCATGATGTACAGCACTTCCCCTTGAATCCACGGGCCCTGAGATCCACTCCTAACACCAGAAAAATGACGATACACGCACAAAACATTCCCTCTAATTCACTAGGATAGAAAAGTTCTGCAAAAGCACATTGACATATCATGCCAGCATAGCATTTTTATGATGTTTAGAATCCTTCACTTTTCTCTCAAACCACTAAAAAAAAATTCCCATCAATTTTTTTCTCTTTCTCTTAAGTGCAGACTGCTTCCCTATAAAGTGCTTTAAAAGCATGTGTTTGAGTGTTGCACTGTTTCAAAAACTAAAGATGAATGTGCTGACTTTTTTTTTAGAGGTTCATTTATAGCTCCTGGTATCACTTCTCTTCCCTCAGATCATTGTGTTATTGAGAAAACCATGACCAGGGTTTTAGAAAACACCCCCCCCCTTTTTTTTTTTCTTCTTATTTTACATATCAATCCCTCTCCCTCCCATCCTCCCATGTTTACCCTGATACCCTCTCCCATCCCATTCCCCACCCACTTCCCAGGGAGGGAGAGGCCTTCCAGGAGAGGTCATCAAAATCTGTGAAGTCATTTAGGGTAGGGCCTAGACCCTTCATCGTGTCTCTAGGTTAAGGGAATGTGCTCCAGATGTCCTTTCATGCACAAGGGATACATCCTTGTTCTACTGTCAGAGGTCCCTTAGACTGCCCAGGCCTTCTAACTGAGACCCACATTCAGAGTATCTGGGTCGGTCCTATGCTGGTTTCCCAGCTATCAGTCTGGGGGTCCATTAGCTCCTCCTTGTTCAAGTCAGCTGTCTCTGTGGGTTTCTACAGCCTGGTCTTGACCCCTTTGATCATCATTCCTCATTCTCCCTTCTTTGAAATCCTGTACGTTTTCCTTTGGCTGTCAGTGGGATTCCTGTAGTT